GGGTATGGATCGACCCAGAGTTCAAGTTTTGAATCAGATGAAGATGGAGATGGATGTGATTGTATGGTCATAACAAAATTACATCTCCATGTTATTGAATTGCAATACTTCTATGTTATTTAATCCCTTTAAGTTATATCTTCACTTTTTATTTTCTATTAGCGTGTGTGATTCATAATTTGTCTCTCTTTCACGCGTGTGTGATGGCAGACTTATCTTAGATGAACTTGATGTTTGGTTGAGTTATACGTGTGTGATGGCTGAGTTATTCTAACGTTAAGGCGGACTTATCGTAGATTAACTTGATGTTTGGTTGAGTTATTTGTGTGAGATGCCTGAGTTATTCTAACGTTACGGCTGAGTTATCGTAGATTAATTCGATGCCTTGTTGAGTTATTAGAACGTGATGGCTGAGTTATTATCGCACAAATCGGAAGACTGGCTGACTTAATTAAAATTAACAGTACAAGGAAGATGGTTGTAAAAGCACCAAATTTAGCTAAGCTCATAAATACTTGTTCAAGCTCTCATACTTTTTCTCTAGCGTTTCAAATTTTTTTCCATAAGATCAATCTTTTCCGCCTTAGCTAAGTTCACAAATATTGGCGGCTTCCAGATCCTTCTTCATCTCAATCGTCTCCTCTTTTATCATATCAAACTCGTCACACAATGCAACAGTCCACCATCTCTTGAAACCGCTGCCTCGACCGGAACCCTTAAAAATAAGAGGTTGATTAATAGGGATACAAAAATAAAAGAAATAAAATAATGAATCATAACTCAAAAGATGCTTACATCTGATATTTTATACGGACAACTGAAATAAAGTTTTCCGCTTGTAACAGGATCATGAGAAGTGGCAACGACAACCTTAGCATTGCAATCTAACTCGATCAGAACGCCTTTATCGCGCCTCCTGTTTTCGCCGTACCTCATTCTCATCCTTATTTCCATACGATCGAGCTCCTACATTAACACAAACACAATATACACCACGTTAAATGACTAACGATTTTTACTTTTCAGATGGTCGAGATAAATACCTCATTTCCTTCTGAAACCGTTTTCTCATCAACACTAGAGTCGCCGTGGAAAATAGATCTTTGTGCCATCATCTTGTCTTCAATTAGTAGGGCACTAAAGCACTAAATCTATATAGTCGTGTATGCTAAAAAGCACTAATCAAACGACGACGTCGTGTATTGGTGAATAAATTTAGAAGTGGCTGAGTTATAAGAGCTTTGCGGCTGGGTTATAGACATATTAATATTCTTTATTATATCATTATCGAGATTACAAAAACTATTTTTATGGGGAACCGCCAATAATGACTGGGTCCATAATCACACGAACACGCCAACAGTTAATATTCAAAATAATTCAAACGAGTTCGAATTGATTCGAATAACTAAACCCTCAAATATTCAAATTTTCAGTTTGGCGGTGGAATACCAATACGTCACGGCTGAGTTATGCCTGAAGATTTCGTGGTTTGACCGAGATATGAGAAACCAAATGTTATTATGAGATTTCAAACTAGCCACCAAATTGTTGGCTCAATTAGTGTCAACATCTATAATATCAAAACAGAAAATAAAGTGGGTTTTCACTAAGTGTCGATTGACAAACTATGTTGACCAAACTTCTAGGAATGATGTTGTTGGGCATGATGTTGGATAAGTATATATAATATGAGCTAGTTTCATGATTCCACTAGTTGGAAAATGATTATGATATGTTAATTATCTGATTGTACCAACTGATGGCTTAAGGAAAGCACTAATAGGGAAGTCTTCTGGGGCAAATTTCCTCTTCTGTAAATTTGGAAGCGTCATGGACCTTGCTAGACCAAAACTGGTGTCGATCGACACCAGGAGTGTGTCGATCGACACTCCTCTGAATCTGGAACTGAAAAATCGTCCTTAGCTTCTTTTTCCTTAGTTTTTGCTCCAAAATGTCTTTTTATCTCCATTATTATCCCACTGCATAAAATGCCTGAAAAGACACTAAAAATACTCGACAAATAACATAACGACTCAAAAACCTAACCCTAAATCATAGATAAATTAGTAAAAATAGGGATATATCAACTCCCCCAGACTTAGCTTTTGCTTGCCCTCAAGCAAAACACAAAAGCCAAACCCGTGGAAGAGGTTTTGAAAACAAAGGAACTCCCAACATTCTCTAGCCTATTGCCATGATCATCTAAACTAAATCCACATGCCTAACAAGTCTAATCAAATCCTAAGCAACATGTACTTCTCTGCAAGCTTACACAACATTCTAGATTCCATTCCTAAGTTCCACAATTATATCCACTGGCTTTCATCGCTGGGTCTCATCAAACAAGCTAACACTCAAGATCCTTCTAGACTCATTCATCTACTATACCATGACAAATCGACCTTTTTTTTTTTTTCTTTCTTTGGTGTTCTTTCTCTTCCCCAGACTTATTCTTTTTAGAGAGTAAACAAAGGAGAACTCGCATACTGGATCGACACCCTCGGTATTTTTCCAACATTTGTAATTGATCATTCCAAATAATGTATAATAATAGGGTCATAGGAAATATTTCTACCCCTATACACTATCTGAAAATCCTCTCACTCTCTCATTATTTTTTATTTTTTTTTATAAGAGGAGATGAACACTTTTTCTTTATCACATTGGTCTCAATATCAGGTATGAACCAGGAGTCAAGATCTATGAATACTAACCGTTTGAAGAGGTAAACGGAAGAGCAGTGAGATTGGCTCGAGCCTTAGTAGTTGTATTGGAAACTAGGATATCCTCAAGTCTGTTGGTTTGCCATCTAGATATTCCAATAGTCGGATTGAGTTGAACCTGCAGCACTCATCAATCATGCAATAATCAAGAGAAATATAAATCATGATTCCTAACTAAACTAAAGAAAACATTTCTTTTCTTAATTAGAAATAATAAGAGAAAATGACTCAATAAACTCAAAAACTAAAACTAATAAGAATCAAAAATAAAAGCAGTATTAGTAAAAACCTCCCCCAGACTTAAACGACACTATCCCCAGTGGCATTCAAATCTGAAGAAGGTGGGAAAAAGAAATAAAAATAAAAGAAAATAAAAGAAAAGGAAAGAAAAAATCAAACCAGTGGATTGCCTCCCACTAAGCGCTTGTTTTGAGTCAATAGCTTGACTTTGCGGAGTTCAAGATGTGGGTAGAATGGTGGAATATTTCTGCTGCCTCCTCGCCTTCCAAGGCGGTGTGTAAACTGATCAGGTCGGGCAGCTGCAGGTGTCGATCGACACTCATTTTGGTGTCGATCGACACTCTTCTCGTTTTCTGCAAGAACAACAGGGGAAACAAGCTTTCGAGAAACTTTAGGCTTGTTAACATGTGAAGCAGACTTCGAAGAATCTAAGGAATTATCGAAGGTAAAGCAGGATAAGAGATAGAAGAGAACTTATCACAGAGGGCCGCAAGAGGTGTGGGCTAAAGGCAATGTGCAGAATCCTTTGTCTGTGAATCCCGAGGGTGTCGATCGACATGAGGGATGGTATGGATCGACATCGTTGCTCTGCAACTCTCATTGGCGAGCTGAGCTGGTGGGAGCGTTATGTGTGGCTCTGTCTGGGGATTCTAAGGGGTCTGAGGAGGTGTGTCTATGCTAGAGGCAATACTACTAATAGTCTAAGTAAACTCTGAACCATCCATGCCAAACTCTGTCTCCAAATCACAAACTTTAAGAGAGATCCTACCTCCCTTCACATCAATCCTACCACCAGCTGTAGCTATGAATGCTCTTCCAAGAATAAGAGGATCCTTGGGTTCCTTCTTATAGTCCAGGACCACAAAATTAGCAGGGATTAGGGAGTTACCAACCTTAACATGAACATCCTCAAGAATTCCTTCAGGGATTCGTTTGGAACGATCCGCGAAGAGGAGAGTGATTCTAGTCAGTTGTGCACTTAGCAGCATGAATCTCCTCCTTAAAACGACGTGTCCTCGGATAAGGGACAAGAGGAGTGCAAGAAGACTCGGGCTTCATCGAGATTCGCGCCTCATATGGTGCAGTCCGGACCCAGTGTTGATCGACACTAGAGGTGTATCGATCGACACCCTAGTGAGGAAGTGTTTCTGAAAATAATGTTCGATACGGTGTCGATCGACACTGGTTGGTGTCGGTCGAAACCAACTCTGCAGCAGCGAGCTCCAACTTGTCTTCAGTGTCCAATTCTTCCCAAACATCATCTCCTTCTCTGATCAAGATGGCATTACAGCTCTTCCTTGGGTTAGCATCAGGATTACCAGGAAGAAAGCCCTCTTGTCTCGTAATGGATTGTGCAGTTGAGCTACTTGTACATCTAGCTTCTTCAAGTGAGAGCTCCAATTGTCGATCTTCCCATTAAGATCTATGTAGACAGCATCAAACTTGCCATTAAACTCCGTAACGAGCTTTGTTTGGCTCTCAAGAATCTGCTCAAGCATGGATTCTATTCTGGTCTCTGATGAGGGTGGATGGGGGGCTTGGTAAACTGAATTACCATAGGTTCTCTGGAAGTTGCTCTAAGGAAATGTCTTCTAGAAAGCAGGCTTTGGAGTGTAGTTCGAGGAACTCTAGTTCCTTGTAAACCTGTTGCCACTCAAGTTGCCCTGTGGCTGTCCAAACTTCTTGTAGCCCTGAGCATCTATGTAGAAGACTCCCTTTTCTAACTCAGTCTAAGGCTCAATGGTCTCATCCTCAGCTGCAAGGTAGACATGCTTCTTCCCTGTAAGCAGGTTGTGAACCGAATCCAGCTTAGCATGTACCTCTGCAATTTGATTACCTGAAACAGCTCCAGCAATCTTTTTCCTCTCAAAGTCAGCATTCTTGGTGCTCTTACTACAAGCTAGGTTCTCTATCAGAGCAGTAGCATCAACTGGATATCTCGTGTTGAAGTTACCATTGCTCGCTGCATCTAGAGCCATTTGGTATCTCTAATCAACTCCATTGAAAAACGTACCAAGAAGTTGTACCTCATTGAAGCCATGATGTGGGCAGTCCCGTTGATACTCCTTGAATCTAACCCATGCGGCTTTGAAGTCCTCAACGGGACCTTGTGTGAAGGTAGACAACTTGTTTCTCAGCTCCTCAGACTTAGCATCATCAAAGAAATTGTTCAAAAAGGCTATCTTGATGCTTCTCAAACTCTTGAGGGAACCTGTTTTGAGTTGTTTCAGCCACGAAGCAGAATCCCCAGGTAGTCCTCTGAGACTCCATTAGCTTTGATGCTCAGAACAAGGTCTTCAAAATGCTTGATATGGTCCATTGGCTGCTCATGAGACAAGCCATGGAAAGGATGCTGGCTTACTAAAGTAAAGTAGCCAGGCTTCAGCTCGTAATTGTTCCTCTCGAAGGGTGCGGATACGATCGCTGATCGATTAGCATATAACAGGTCAGGCCTGTTGAAACCCCCAAGAGTACGACGTGGTTTCACAGCTGGAGGAATAGCTGCAGAAATCTGTGGTTGGTGTTGATCGACACCTCTGTTGTGTCGATCTACACCGATCGCGTCTGCATTCTGCTCCTGAAGGTGTCGATCGACACCGAGTCCTGCTGCGTCTCTAGCAGCTAATTGCGCATTAAGGCGCGCCTGATCCTCATTGGCGTCCTCAGGTAGGATGAGTGTATGATCATCCAATTTCTGACCAGCCTCATTGTAGGCTTGCCCATCCTCATCTCTCAAAACTCCTTCTGCATCAGCTCGGATGACTCTTTCAGCCATTGCTAACCAAATATCACTAGTATATATATATATATATATATATATATATATATATATATATAATTTTAATATAATTTTTAAATAGGTATTTAAAGTAATAAACTTTTTAATATAATACTAATTAAAGATCTAAATTTTATAACATTTTCAACAAGCAATCTCCATTCTTCATATAACTAATATATTTTATATATTAACAAATAAAATTAAAATTTTCTATTTCATGACTCAATTACACACATGTATATATATGAGGTCTATTAGCTGACAAAAAATTATTAATATATGATGAAATTGAATTAATAATAAATATTATTATTATTTATATAAGGACTTTAATGTTTTGTACGTATGGATTAAGATAAACAAAATTTATAATGTATGAGAATATAAAATATATAATATAACATATAGTTTTTCTTTATAATATTTTTATTAACCAAATTGTAAGAGCTATATATATATAAGATACGGTTTAAATTATCCTAAGAATTACTCCCTCAAATAAGAGATCAATTGTAGTACTTAAGGATCGATTTCCACAAAGTTCTTTTGTTCACACAATGAATTCAATGTCGAGATTAAGCTAGCAGGATAAAATTGAAAGTAAAAGAATACAAAGTAAAAAGACAGCAGATTGATTGGTTGTAAACGATGAAATAAAGAGTTAGGAACAGGGTATTCTTAGGAAACTATTGGTTAGTAGATCTAATGAAAGCTAGGTTATTATCGAACAATTCTTAAACTCAAACTCTAATTATGCAATAATCGATGGTGTTCCGCGAAACTCCCTATGCCTATATCTAAGAATAACTGGAGAAGCCGAGAGATCTTTAACCTAAACATGCATTCTAAACGAGTTCAATTGTTCACCTTAGTAGATAGCCAATTTTTATTACACACCTATAAACCAGGCTCATCAAATAATAGATCCAACTACAGATACCTATGGTGGGCATATCTATTTTTCTGTATTCAAGATCTAGTTAATTAGATCTAGCATTAAGAATAATCAAAGATGAAGAATTATACAGATAACCTAACAGGGGGGCGATCTACGAAACCATATGAATCTCTAATGAGAAACCTATTCCTAATAACTAAACTACCCAGACATATTGAATGAAACAAACACTACAAGAAAACAGGTGATTGACGACCTACAAGTCAGTCGTTAAGTAGTCGTAACTAAAGCTAATACGACTAATTTGCGACTAATGACTGTAGTCATTAATCCATAGTCGCTAAAAACAGTAGTTGTATTATTGTCGTTGACCAACGACTAATTAACGACAACTGACTATGTCGTTACGTAGTCGTACTATGTCGGCGACTAATTGACGACTATCCTACGATTAATTGTACTGTACAGAGCGTGTGAGAACATGTAGTCGTTTCGTAGTCGTTAATTGTGTACGACGATATTACGACTATGTTGCGATTAAATATTCTAAACCCTGGGTATGTTTCCAGTTGTCATAAAATAGTCGTAAATATGTTTACGACTATTCGACGACTCTTTGACGATTAAAAGTACTTTACCAAGGATTTGAAACTTTTTGTCATAACATAGTCGTATAAGTATGTACGACTATTGGACGTCTGTTTTACGATTCTTTTATGACTAATTTGTTTAGTCTTATGATTGTCGTAAAGTTATGTGACTAATTGACGACTATTCAGCGACTATAGTGCTACTTATTTACTACTTTTTTGTGACTAATAATTTGGTCCGAATAAAGATTTGGTCATCAGGTGATGGGTTTCTTGTTTGTTCTTGTTAGTTCATCGATTGTTCATGTTTGTTATTGATATGCTATACAATATGAAAACACTGCTTATATATTGAAAATCAAGTTCAAAACATAAAATTATCTTGTTCAAACATACAACTTATTGAAAGATACAAACTAGTGTTTGGAAACCTAAATTCTATGGATCATTAGATGGGGGAGTAATTGGGATACGCTCTGTGGATGTGGAAGAGTGTGTGGCAATGAAGTCCAAGAACTGCGGATCGGTTTGGCGGAGATACTTCTCGACTACGGACAAGTGCTCGAGCTTGTCCTTTTGCTCAGCTGTGACTCGGGCTGTCTCGGCTTCTCGGGCAGCAATCTCAGCATCTCGCTTCTCGTTATATGCAGCCTGTTCTTCAATTTGCCGCTGAGCTTCCTGCAGCCGTTCTTCTAAGGCTTTAAAGGTTGAGTCTACGGGGAGTTGGCGGTTGGCACTGCCTAGAGTTTCTTTAAGACAGCCAAGTCCATAAGGATTGCCTCTTGCATCCTTTTCTGTGGACTGCAAGAAATAAAGAGGAAGATAATTAGTGACAGATCCTAAATGTCTCTAAGACTCTGAAAAAGACAAAGAACATCTTACCTCGAGAAATATGGCTGCATACTCATCTAGTGTGAGATCCCGAGGACGTGAAGAGCCATCAGACACACCAGAACCAGCCGCCTCTAGTTCAGACAGTTTCTCTCTCACATTCTGCTCATACGCCAGAGCAATCTTCTCTGCCTTCTGATCAACATAAGTCCCATCCGACTTAGTGTGTGTCTGGATGAACACCTCACCAAGAGGGACAGGTCTTCCCATTTTTTCTTCCTGCAAACACAGATCACAAGCTTCATTACTATCAACAGACTAAACATCACACACAGTTAAACGAACATCACTAAAACACATGGGAAGATTGCAGAAACACTTACCAATTCATCTTGGATTTCTTGGAAAGACTTTGGCCCAGAGTAGTGGACGTGAGGACCGAGACCGTTACGGTCAGAGAGACGAGCTTTGGAATATGTCTTACTCCTTTTTTGTGCCTCTTCAGTGTCCCAGTAGTCGCACATGGTTCCCCACAGAGTTTCTCCAATCCATGGAGGCTGCTCTCGAGTTCTCCTTGCGGTGCTAACCATGTCCTTCAAGCGCCTCTTAACGATCTCATTGAAGTAGTATTGGACTGTCCCTGTTATTAAGGGATCCCAGTGGTGAGTTTTCTACAAAAAAAGTGTGAAGTTAGTGAACAAATGACAGATGAAATAGTACAGTCTAATGAAAGTTGGAGAAATACAAGAAGCTTACCGCAAACTCTAAAAACAATCTTTCTCTTTTATCCAATGGCACACACGACCAATTATAGTAGGGAGCATTGAACTTTTGAGTAAAAATCCGTGTGATCTTTCTAACCAATTTAGATCCTCTGTCGCGAGTAAACCTCCAAACACATGCAACACAGACAGAAAGTAAACATGTTTAAAATCCAAAACACTACAACTACAGCAGACTATATAATTGAACAAAGGCAAATTCTACAAGATTCTAGACAAGTATAAGCTGACAAGATCACACACAGAACACAATAGTCAACATAACAAGATCATAGACAGTAAAGAACAAGTATAAACAAGTATAGAACAAAGACAGATCCTCATTGTCAAAGCCGAAAACATGCTAAGTTCAACAATCAACAAATGTTCCACAATTATGTTCATGATTCACAACAGAACAAAATAAAGAACTTAACAAGATTATAGACAAGTATAGAACAAAGACAGATCCTCAATGTCAAAGCCGAAAACATGCTAAGTTCAATAATCAACAAATGTTCCACAATTATGTTCATGATTCACAACAGAACACAATAAAGAACTTAACAAGATTATAGACAAGTATAGAACAAAGACAGATCCTCAATGTCAAAGCCGAAAACATGCTAAGTTCAACAATCAACAAATGTTCCACAATTATGTTCATGATTCACCACAGAACACAATAAATAACCTAACAAGATTATAGACAAAGTGAAGAACTTAACAAGATCACACACGAGTTTAGAACAAAGGCAGATTCTACTATGTTACACAAACCCTAACAAACATCCAATTCCAACAAAGGCAGATTCTACTATGTTACACAAACCCTAACAAGCCATTCTACAGACCATAACACGAGTTACACTACACAGGCTAAGCACACTAGAATAAAATAGAGGAAGAGAACATACCACTCGGTTTTAGGTTTGGGAATTGGAGACAAGACACAACACCACTGCTCCCTGTTTGGCACAGAGAGTGTCGATTGCAGAGCCAACGCCGAGTCTTCTTGTAGCTCCGGCAACGTCCCAGGAACTTCCTCTTGGAAGTTGTTCCCTTGAGACGACGGGTGGCTGTTTGCTGGAGCGTCTGAATCTCGCGACTGACAAGGAGTTTGCTGAGGTGGCGCTGTTGGTGGCGGAGTGTAGTGGACCTCTTCAGATAGAGGCGGAGGAGCTTGATGTTGTGGTTGAGTCGTTGAGTTCTGGAAGAGTTGCAGAGGCGGTGGATAGTTGCGGACGTGGGGTGCAGACGTTGAAGGTCCATGTTGTTG